CAGTGTAAACTACTTGTAGCTGATGATGATGACAAAACCTTGTCAAAACGTTGTACATTTGCTATTATGTTAAACTTATATTAAAGTTTTTCTTCATTACTCATTCAAGCCGTCTCCAAGCATTATTAAACAAACTTTTTTTAATGATGAATCAAGAAGTGTAGGGAATTCCTGAAAGAGAGAAGTAATTCAGAAAAAAAACATATAGTGACTTTTGCAGGTTGATGATAGAAAATTTGTACTGAAAATGACCTTCTGGACACCAGTTGTTTTAATGGGATTTCACTAATAACACACTGCTTTTCTTTTAAAATGTTTATATTAGACATTACGAACTCCATAAAAATGACAAAAATGTATATTTTGATGCTGTAAGTACACAATCACAAAATGCCCATGACTGAAGATACCCATAAAATATGTTGCAGAAGCTTTATTTCTGGCAATGGTGATAAAGTAAATAAATGCCTGAAGTAAAAAACAACATCTATAAATCATGAGCATATTTTCAAGGAAGATCCAGAAGAGGTTCCTTATCATGAAATGGGAAATGTAAGGAAAGACAACAGCACAGGTCAATAAACAGCATTGGCAAGCTAATTATTGTTTTTGGTTTAACTAGAAAGATGGCCATCACAAAAAGCTGCTCGACTTTGGCAATATATATTAGTAGAATATAATTCTTCACTTGAACAATCTTCAGCCTTTTCAACAGTAGCAAACTGCTCAGCAGATCTTCCCTCCCATCTCTTTAATTTACTAGTTTTTCTGGATTTGGTAGGGACCCTACACATTTAATAAACTACTGTAATTAAAAGTTGTTTGTTAATGTTAATATTACTAGCTGGCATACTCTTCCAATCCAAGAAATAACATGGGTGTCAGATGCAAATGCTGTCACCAACCCCATGTCACTCCCGTAAAGGAACATGCCATGTTTAGTGACGATCTATAGAGTGGTTTCGTCAGTTATAAACATACGCATACAAACAGCTAAGACTAGTATGAGTAAGACTTTTGTCAAATAATTGTTTAAACTGTAGAATGTCACATACTTTAGTATTTAAATTTAATTACTAAATTAGCTCTTTTCACGGTAATCACAGTGACAATAAGAACTCAAAGTTAAACTAAAGAATATAAGAACTAGTTGTTTAAAAATATTTATTGAAACTTAAACTACACTGTAATTTACTGCTATTCTCCACAGTTTATTAATATTATTATTAAATAATATTAATGCCCAACTATTACTATTAGTATTACTGAGTCAGTGCGTATTACTATTACTAATAGTATTAGTAATATTACAGATGTAATACTGAGGATTAGTATTATTTTTTTTATAATTTATATACATCTGTAACTTGTATTACGATATATTATATATTAATTATTATTCAAACCTTTTTCATAGTAATCCCGACGACGGCGACTGTGAACAAAACAAGTCTGTATAAATATATAATGCGATTTTTTCTTCGTAGCACACAAATTCTGCCACAATTGCACAATATTAACACACCTCTCCATCTGGAACCATTTAAAATTTAAGAACTGCGACTACAGCGCTACTTTGTGATACATATTTCTTTCGTAAAAAAATATATATAAATAATAATAATAAATAAAATAAATCAATATCCAACAACATGCAATCCTGGTTATTAAACCAATCAAAGGGTTAGTTAAAACAGGCTAGTATATTTCAAAATATTTCACTGTCAACCATCCTTACCAATTTCTAATTTCATTTATTACCTTTGCACACCGGAACTGCAGACGGTTAATAATAATTTTGAATGTGGGAGGTGGTGGACTTGATCATTTTTATCTATTTCTTCCTCATTTTTGAATTTTATTTCATTTCACACGTGAGAATTGCGAAAAAGGGTTAAATCTAATAGGTAGTGTTTCCCCATCGATACGTTAATTTTGTTCCAGACTCCTCTTCCAACTTCAATTCTAGTTTTATTTGACTGGAATATACGTGCAATGCGTTTCTGTGTGCTTTATTATTTGATTTTATATACACCTGTTTTACTTCTTTCACTAACAAGGGGGGCTAGCATGGCCAAGTGGTTAACGCGCTCGACTCGCACCTGCGGGTTCGAATCCCTGCTAAGTTATCGACGGCTGGCGCATATACTCCCTGTGCAGCTTTGCGCGAAATTCAAAACAAACCAAAACCATTATCATGAGTACATATATGTCCCACACCCTTTAAGTACTGCATGTAAGTTTGGAACTTCTTGCCACATTAAGTTTACTAGTTTTAAATTTCAGATAAGTAATAATATGTTAAAAAGTGTCCTCTTATTTTTTTATTGCATATCTAAAAATAAACTGGGCACTGCTTTTTAACTTTTTTTTCTTATTGATTAACAAGCAAGTCATGTGTGAGGGAGAGATTAGAAGTTTGTTTGTTTATAATTAAGCACAATGGGCTATCTGTGTTCCCCCCAACACGGGTATATGCAGACGTGCCGGTGTGCCACAAGGGGGGTGG